TCTACCTAGAATCATAGAATTGTTTAGGTTAGAAAAAAACTTTAATACCATTGAGTCCAACTGTTAACCTAACACTGCCAACTCCCCTACTAAACCATGTCTCTCAGCATCACATCTAGATGTCTTCTAAATACCTCCAGGCATTGTGACTCTGCCACTTCCTTGGGCAACCTATTCCAATGCGTGACAGCCTTTTTGGTGAATAAATTTTTCCTAATATCCAATCTAAACCTCCCCTGGCACAACTTGAGGCCATTTCCTTTTGTCCTATCACTTGTTACTTGACCAACACCCACCTCCCTACAACACCCTGTCAGGTAGTGGTAGAGAGCTATAAGGTCTCCCCTCAGGCTCCTTTTCTCCAGGCTAAACAACCCCAGCTCCTTCAGTTACTCCTCGTAAGACTTGTGCTCCAGACCCTTCAACAGCTTTGTTGCCCTTCTCTGGACACGGTCCATCATCTCGATGTCCTTCTTGTTGTGAGGGGCCCAAAACTGAACACAGCATTTGAGGTGTGGCCTTACCAGTGTTCACTGGGAGAAAATCACTTCCCTACTCCTGCTGGCCATGCTATTTCTCATACTAGCCAGGATGCCATTGGCCTTGTTGGCCACCTGGGCACACTGCTGGCTCATGTTCAGTCGCTGTTGACCAACACCCCCAGGTTGTTTTCTACCAGGCAACTTTCCAGCCACTCATCCCCAAGCCTGTAGCATTGCATGGGGTTGCTCTGACACAAGTGCAGGACTCAGCAATTGGCCTTGTTGAACCTCATACAATTGGTTTTGGTCCATCAATCCAGCCTGTCCAGATGCTTCTGTAGAGTCTTCCTACTCTCAAGCAGATCAACACTCCTGCCCAACTTGGTGTCATCTGCAAACTTACTGAGGGTGCACTCGATCCCCTCATCCAGATAATTGATAAAGATGTTAAACAGAAGTGGCCCCAGTACTGAGCCCTGGGGAACACCGCTTGTGACTGGTCGCCAACTGGATTTAACTCCATTCACCACAACTCTTTGGGCCCAGTCATCCAACCAGATTTTTACTCAGCGAAGAATATACCTGTCCAAGCCATGTGCAGCCAGTTTCACCAGGAGAATGTTGTGAGAAACAGTGTCAAAGGCTATACTAAAGTCCAGGTAGACAACATCCACAGCCTTTCCCTCAGCCACTAAGTGGTCCCAATTGTCATAGAAGGAGATCAGATTAATTAAGCAGGACCTGCCTTTCATAAACCCATGCTGACTAAGTCTGGTTTCCTACTCTCCACATGTTCCAGTATGGATTTTTTGTATGTGCAGCAACATGACTATTTTTTAACCCATATTTGGGTTGGGATCTACTGTAATCCTTGCATTGTTTTGTCCAGGCTACTGACTTGTCTTCAGTTCCCCATCTTGTGCATCTGCCATTGATTACTGTTGCATAAGGGGGAGCTTTCTCAAGGTTTATAAAATCCTGATGGGAGGTAGTAAAGAAGATAGAGCCATAGTCTTCTCAGTGGTGCCTGGGAGAGGAGAAGGAGCAATAGGCACAAAATGAAATA